TACTACCCTGTGTGTACTGCATAGGACCAGAGGAAATATGGGTGCGTGCACGTGGGGGATTCAAGTCTCCTACGGCGGTGCTGTACAACTTCCCGCCGGACATTGCCAAATTTCGCTGTGCTTCCTGTACGAGAGGGTGTACACAGATTTCCGGTTGTTGGAGCCCCTGAACTTCCCGCCTGAGTTGTTGCACTTCTAATTCCAGACTCAGGATTTTGTCGGCTCTATCCTGTCTCAAGGAGACAATTTCCTGTGACATGCAGCTAATTGAGTCAGTTAGGCTTACAATTGCAAGTTGGAGCTCCGATGTGGGTAGCGAACTCTGCGCCAACACGCCCACTCCACGCTTCCTCAGCTCGCTCACCAGATCCGGCCGGGAGAGGCTCGAGGCTTTATCCACAGACATTTGCTCGCCGATCTTGATGAGCTCCTCATAGCCAACCAAAGCCAGGTCCATGCCTTCGTTTGTCGCCATTGGTACTGTTGGTCTCTTCTATTAGTTCTAAGCAATAATGGGGAGGGGTAGTTCTGTAGAGAGACGCACCTCGAGGCTAATCCGCGGAGCACCAAATGAGCCGCAATCAGCGAAAACGACCCTTAGAGGTTTCCCGAAAAAATCACAACTGTCCACAGGCAAACTTTAAAGGATACGCAAACTGACCTATTTCGGGCACACATGCAGCCCATCAGGCTGCGAACTTGTACGTGACGTGATGTTTGGTGTCGTGGATGGTAAGAGAAAGCTTTGTCGTCCGAAGATTTCCTTCGCTGACAATATCGTTTCGTGGACTGATATGTCTCTGCATGAGAATTGCCAGTTGGCATATGACAGAGATGCCTGGCAGTCCCACTGTGCATCTAATGCTCACACAGCTGCATAATGCCGTTTATTATTTTATTTTCAAACTCGGATGTTGAGCCATAAATAAATGTACAAAGGAAAATGACATAAGGATGCGAGTTAAGTGTCTCAGTACTTTTGTCAGTTTTGTGCCTAGTTATTGCACTTTCTGACTGTATAAGGTATCCAGTTACAGTAATGGAGAGCTACTCTTAACTCGTATCCTTACGTCCTTTTCCTTTCTACATTTCTTTTATTTTACTATTATTATTTTTCGGCAACGCAAATGATGGTGATGATGATGATGATGACGGTGTGTAATGGGTAGCCGAGTGGTAGGCGCGGTGTAATCAACAAGAGTTACTTTTATTCTACTTCTTTCAGGTACACACCTGAGATATAATTATTAGTGAAAGAAGAAGCGGCAAAATAACTGACTTTCTCTCCGGTGCACACCTGGAGGTTGAATAGCTCGTTATTATCAAAATCTCGTCTTCATCAAAACAGAAATGCGCAGCCGCTTTTATGCAGCAGCTGCCGTACGCTTACATACGGAGATACACTAAATATACATCAGGCAAAGCTCCGTATTAGTTCCGTACTGCTTCCGTATTGGTTGGGCAGGGATACTACACCCTCCCTTCCTACAGATAATCACGCCATCGTGATTTTCAAAAAATTAGTGAAGAGTTACGAAAAGAGGGTCAACCGGAAGATGGCAAATTATATCGGAAATGATAACGTTTAGAGTAGACAGAAGAAATGAACTGATAACAAATCATAAAGTAGAAGCACACCAGGCTCACACGATCTCACGGGTTAAAAGGGGAAAGAACTGTCCTCCAAGTAGGACCTGAAAAACCACAGCACTCTTGCTGCACAACGCTGGCACAACCCGCCAGGAACATCGCAGGTCAAAAACCGAACTGAATACACTATACCTATAAGGGGCGTTGTCACACACATTGTCCCACGTTAGCTGGGTAAGCCGTGGCTCACCATGATCAGACGCCTACCAAACTAAACTGGATTCACATACTCGCATAAAGGAAGACTGAAGAGAACAAGGAGACTGAAGGAAGACAGGAAAGAAAATGCCATACCTGGAATCAGCGTTAGTAACCACGGCGGCGGCTGGAGCTATGGCCGAGGGCAAGCCAGGTTTTATCTTCATCTTGGTTGAGCCGGTCAATCAGAGCGGCTAGCTCGGCGTCAGACAAATGACCTCCCTCCTCGTCTTGAATCGTGGTCTTCACATTGTCGATAGCATTGCTTTGCGCGACGTAAAGAGTGATGGTATAGCAAGGAAGAGTGTTGACGAAAATCTGCATCCCACCACGGAGGCGAAGTACCAAATGAAGTACCAAATGAAGAAAATCAAACGCTGCTGGTCTTGGGGAATACCCTCCTTGTCTTGGGTACCAGCCTCCCTTTTGTCGTCCTCATCAGCTTCGCCATCACCACAGGTAGTATAGGTAGCGGGTCGCTTGGAATCGCCATCGGAGTGTAAAGTGAGTGCCGTGCGGAAAGAAGGGTGATCCACGCTAGCACCCTGACTGTGCTGCAGGCTAATAAGCAGAGCCAAGACCAGGAAGGCAAGAAACATGATTCTTATCTTAATTCGTCGCACGGAGCTGCAGCGGGTTGAGCCATGGGGGTCTGGGGTCGAATCACGTTGTTTTATTTAAAACTACACCGCTGCCACCAATGTAATGGGTAGCCGAGTGGTAGGCGCGGTGTAATCAACAAGAGTTACTTTTATTCTACTTCTTTCAGGTACACACCTAAGATATAATTATTAGTGAAAGAAGAAGCGGCAAAATAACTGACTTTCTCTCCGGTGCACACCTGGAGGTTGAATAGATCGTTATTATCAAAATCTCATCTTCATCAAAACAGAAATGCGCAACCGCTTTTATGCAGCAGCTGCCGTACGCTTACATACAGTGATACACTAAATATTCATCAGGCAAAGCTCCGTATTAGTTCCGTACTGCTTCCGTATTGGTCGGGCAGGGATACTACAGGTGCGATAATACAGTAAATCAAATGTTCGTATTTTGCTGTTCGCATTCAAATATTCTTTCTCGTGTTACTGTTCTAGAATATTCTAATTATTCAAATTTTCCTTGCTCCACTAATAATAAGTAATCAAAAACCGTAGTTCTCTTTCAGCGTGACAATGGTCGTGGGCATTGCAGGGTATCGGCCATCGACGCGGACATGGAGGCAGACGTGCACAGTCGGTTCCTGCAACTCATACTCCACATGGAATAAATGCAGAGCCCCATGTGGAGGTTCATTCAAGATTTCGTTCAAGGCTAAAGGGTATCAAACCTATTCAAGTAATAAACTAGTCGACTGGAACTTGCCACAAGAAGTAGGAGTTTGGAGCTATTTCTCTGACAGTGCTGGCCATTGAAGTCGGACCACTTTCTTAAAAATTACGCTGCGAATTATATTTCGGACAGCTGAACGTCGTCCAGAGCTACTTTTTGCGGGGCACAGAAAGTGTGTCGGTGGCCATGATTTATTTTATTATATTTATTTCACTCAACTCGTGGTTCATGACCAATTGGCACGCAAAGTGCGAGAGAGGGGTTATAGCCAACCACGGCAAGAAAAGAAAAGAAAGGAATATAGAAAAAGAGAAGAAAGAAGGATAGACAAGAATACAGCAATGAGATCCTATCGTACTACATTATGCGATCGGAGTGCATTTTTAAAGCTGGAAAGACATTTTGATGTCTTAACATGCTGGAGAAGTTGCAGCTAAAAGGCTGAAGGACAAAAACAGAGGAGAGTTGGTAAATGCGGCTGAATTAGCACGGGGAAGTGAGAGACTATTACGAGTGGACCGGGACAGAGAAAACCAATTGAATACGGAGAGATGAATGGGAATTTTACCTAGGCGAATTCTGTGGATCAAAACGCAAAGCTGCTGTTTGCGATTATCTTGCAGTGGCTGAGTATTGCTGATACAATAGAGCTCAAGACTAGGAAATAAACGCTGCTTGTTAAAACATATTTTAAGAAGAGATTTATGTTGGATTTCAAGTTTGTTCACAAGATGTTGACTTAGACTACACCAAGACTGACATGCATACTGGAAAATAGGTAATAGATACGAGCGATAAAACATAGAACGGCATGTATTTGGCAAATGAGAACGATGAGGATATAGGATGCCGAGAACACTACTAGTTTTCTTGCAAATATAGTCTACATGAGGAGCCCATGTTAGACAGTCGTCAATAATTATACCAAGGTGCTTATGATCATGGACAATTTCTATGGTCGATGAGCTGCCAGGACATGATAAAGGAACATTACAGAACTGATCACTAGCACCGCTACAGAAGAACATCACTTTGGTCTTACTAGTGTTCGGTCTCAGCTTCCAAGTCGACATCCAAGAAATGGCGGAGTTTATCTTTTTCTGGAGGTCATTGACTAGCAATTGCTTGCAACTACTTGAAGCGGAAACTGTGGTGTCATCGGCGAACAGTGAAACATTAGGGACAGACATCGGTAGATCATTGACGTAGACTAAAAAGAATAGTGGCCCCAGGATTGACCCCTGTGGAACACCAGAATTAATTGCCTGGGGAGACGAGAGGCTGTTGCCGACGCGTACAGCCTGTAACCTGTCAGTTAGGTAGCTTTCAAAGAAACAAAGCAGGATTCATTGTTCAACTCTGTGCAAATAATAAGCTGAGATGTAAAAGCCGATAATCACCAAATTTGAGAAAATCAGATTTTAACCTCAGTGTAATCAAAAGGTCCACGGGCACGGCCAGGAAATATTTCACATGCAAAAACTAACTTTAATCGCTAACGGTTGGATATACCGGTTACGTCGGGGCCGGAATGAACGCCATCTTGTTTAAACACCAGCACATTTTGAGGGTGTGTTCAGTATTACATGAAGTAATCTACTAGTAACTGCAACTAGATTGTGCTAAGAGGATTCTTGTGCTGATCTTTGCATGTGACATTACTTGCACACTATAATCAACTTTTCTCTACTCTCGATATTAGTCGGGTGGTCAAGTTGTGACAAAGGTGGAAAAGGATAAAACACGTTCTGATCATCGTACTTCAAAGTAGTACATGTACATATTTTATCTGTCACTGTATGCACCTCTGTTATGCACAGTTCCACCTACCATACTGTCATTGAACACATCGGATACAGTTGACAACAACACTGTGCACCCCATCAGTTGTACAGGCCAGGGATACCCGGAACCTACAGTGACACTAATGGTCGACAATGTGGTAGTCACTGGCACTGATACCAACAATTGTGCTGCTGGTGTGTGTACAAAGACACGAACAGCATCACTAGATGGTAGTAACTACACACCTGGTGACACCATCAACATCACATGTATTGTGGATATCAACCCACCACCATTCACCTGTACTGCTGCTCAGAATTCAACTCTACAGACTCAGTGCACTACTTCTGTCAATACCAGGTCACAAACAATAATGTTAACTGTAGTTGGTAAGACTTTTAAAAATCAATGCTTCACATCAGGTATGGAAAATGTTAGTCTATGCGCCATATTCAATGTAAACATGTGGGACCAGCATTTAAAATTAAAGTGAGCAGAGGTGTTTGTCGGAGTGTGCATTGACAAATAGTAATTCGTTGTCATTTTGTTAAAGCTTGGACAATGCACTTGTCCAGGAAAGTAGGCAGCAATGCCTGTCCATTCTTCGGTAGTAAAATAAAATATACCAGCCAAACAACTTCGAAGTAAGGATTCTGGAGTGCATTTGTGTCTATTTTGAGCAATGACATTAAAGTTATGCTTCTGTGTCTCCAGCGCAATGTCCATATCTTGATGATCTCGGCTTCAATTACAAACCTATTTCCGGTTTCAGCAGGACGTTTGGCAGCAACCTTTCCATACAGTGCCGAACAGGTTACCTGTCCACCGACGCTCTCAGTACCACCACAACTTCATGCCAAAGTGGTGGAGTATGGAGTCCAAGTCCTCCAGGGTGGAAATGTGTCCAGAAAAAGGACACATTAAATAGTTACCGTTAAGGCCCTTGGAATTTTGCTACTTTTGGATGAAAATTGGTTATATTTGGAGCGGGTTGGCACTGTGAAGATACGCGTGGTTCTGTTCCGTAGCGATATCAAGACTGCCCAAGTGAGGTAATGTGCACGTTGGAGGTGTATTTTGTAAGTTTCTATTCGCACTAATGCCCGATTTCGGTTCTGAACTGCAGCTTTTGGCCAATTTGGTTGTTTTACCAACTGGCACGGGGTCCTGTTACAAGTGCGGACAGAACTCCTGGTTAGGTAATTGTAAGCCCCAGGAGGATAACTAACTGCAAAATGTGAGAGATGTCAGAATGATGGCTTAACCCATATGTTCTGTTTTTTCCCAGACATGCTCTCTCTTCTCCATTTGAAATGAATTTCACATCTCTCGCTATGAAAAATTAGAGATTCGCAAGAAACTACCTGGAGAGAATGTCGGCAGGAAGGTTCCCTTACATCAAGGGAAATGCTCAGGAAAGTTGGAATTCTTCCCTTCGGAAGGATGAAACTTCGGCATGTAAAAACTATCGCACCTTTTTTTCTCAATCGATATACCAAATGAATGCGTTCATACAAAGCATGGTGCTCGACTTACTACGAGTCCACTGTAGGGCTAAAATCGGCAGCTATATTAGTATGAAGGTATGATTGTAGGTATTGAACTTCATTCCACTGATGCACCGTAGCACATTGTTGATGTATTTTATGACTTGTCGTAGGTCCCGTGTCTGAGGCTGAGCATTGGCTGGAGTATATTCCTTATGTGCAATGCAGAGGTCAAATTACTTTTAACAAAAACGGTGTATTCATTAGTGTGATGGAAAGTTGCAACGGGAAAAGTAAGAAAAATATTCTTTTACTACGAGGACTATAACCAGGGACCCGCGCATATAGCATGCGGTGCTATGCCAATATGCTATGGTGTAGTTGTCGTTAAAGAAAAGACTGTCCAGTTCCTTCTTGAGACTTCCAAAAAAATGAAGATTAAATTTGATAAAATGGCAACCCAAAAAGGAGTTCTAAAGGAAATGGTTTTTCTGTGAAGGTCCTGGCGCTCTGGCACAACTTAACATTTGTGTACAGTACTGTCGAGAGAACAGCAGTTGATGATGATGATATATTTCCTGAATGTCAAATACTAAACCTAAATCGAGGAAACACAACTATGGTTCAAAAACGTCAAGCTGAGTATCCCTGTCAGACGCAATGACTTGCGCGTGGAAGTTATGGCAATAAATCTACCTTGTACGATAAGGGTTTTAGTCCAAGATTCACAATGGTAGTTCACACGATACCGTTAATTAGCACACTGCGTACTCCCATTCCGTTGTAATTCCATTGCAGATTGCAGCATTAGGTGTGCCGGTGACAATAAAGTTGTAGCCTGTAATCACATGATGGGAACACTCGCCGTCAACTGCGTTTGTCCAACTAACTACACTTGGACAGGGAGCAAGTGCGCGCGTAAGTGCCGTGATGTATTTTAAACAACGTAACATAAGTTTATACAAGTCACGCTACTTTCTCTGTGCTGCGATGAAGAGTTCACAAAGAACGAAACAGCATGCTGTCCGAAGATTGAGTACAAGTTAGGCTATAATAGCCACTAACACCATCACTAAACAATCAGCTCATCCCATAACATTCCACAACACTGACCGACGGTACTGACGTTCTACAACTAACTGGCTATCAGCTTTAGCACAGCTTGGATGCGCACTTCAACAGCCTTCCAACTTTGAAGGTTCTAAGTTATATAATTTATACCTTCCCCTCCTATGTTATAATTATCATTAACACGCATGCACTCGCTATTACAGACCAGAGGAGAGCACAAATCATATGGAGGATTCATAGAGTGCTGGGCAACCGAATCTAGCATGTTGAATAGTCCACGCACGATGTGCAGCCCATGAAATGGACACCCATGAACTGGGCGGAGTGTGGACGGCCTGCCTGACAGTGTATATGTATGTCCACGCACAAAGTGCAGCCCATGAGAAGGGCGCCCTTGAAATTGACGGAGTGTGGACGGCCCACGCGCGAAGTGCAATGCCCATTAGGAGGCAGGAGTGTTGAAGTATGAATGCGATGGCAGAAGACTGTGATAATTGCCAGATGAGAGGAGATAGCTGGCCCAGCACTCCTATTTATTTTCATATTAAATTTTTATGAATTATGATACCTGTGTTGAATCAAGGATATCAATATTATTCATAGATGGGAAGAGGTGGGTGGGTGCGAAAGAAACAAACCAGTGTTCTTATCACGACCCAAGCAAAGCAAATATGAAGTAGTATTATAGCAATGTGGTCAGCTCTAAGTATGGTGTATGCGTTACGGGTTAAAGCTCCGATGTGTGCTGCAGCCGCATATGGCTGGTTGGCTGGCGAGTTTAGGTTGCGTTCCGGCGTACGCATGTTACATGCCATCGCAGCGTGCATGTACGTGCTGCTTGACATGAATCAATGAATAGCTTGGGATCTGCGGGCTCTTTGGAAGCCCCTGGAGCGCGTTTGAAGTGGTGGCTTGTGTTCCATTACCGGAAGCTCTAATGTGCTATAACTATTACTAGTTTTACCTTCGGTCAGTGTCTCGCAATATTATCGCATGGACTAAGTGTTTTGTAACTGATGGTGTTAGTGGACATCACAGCGAAATATCTAGTTCCTTGGTTCTATTCTGTTCTATACATTTATCAGTCGTAGTAGGTTTTTCATTTTGACCCGACGAGACCATACGACGCTTGCAGATCACAGCACGAACAGTTCACCAGCCACACTCCACTCTCTATGGAACGAAACAAGACTTGTCAGGAGTACTACTACTTGCTTTCGTGGAGTGTGGCTGGTGAACTGTTCGTGCTGTGATCTGCAAGCATCGTATGGTCTCGTCGGGTCAAAATGAAAAACCTACTACTACTGTATTTGACGGACCTATTGAAGATGGCACAAAGAATTATACACTTATCCTTGGCTTCCCATCCGAGTCCACTCTGACATAGATTTGTTGTGAAATGTGCCATAGAAAATTCTGTGTTGTTCAGAGAAAGGTGATGAGCGCTGCCTTCACTGTCATTTTTCAATTATGTATGAGACCGCCACTAGAGACCATGCTTTCAGGTGTACTTCAGACGGTTACTGGTTTAGCTTATGCCGCACCAAGACTGATGGATCTCTTACAAAATGCAGCTTCAAAAATTAATAGTTTCAGAGTGATGTGTTTGTGTGTGTGTGTGTTCTGTGCGTGCGTGTGTGTTTGGCACATGGTGTGTGTTACATGGTGTGTGTGTTGTGTGCGTGTGTGTGTCAGTGTGTGTGTGTGTGTGTGTGTGTGTGCGTGTGTGTGTGTGTGTGCTGTGTGCTGTGTGTGTGTAGGGTAGCACTGATCCCATTGCATCGATTTTCTTGAGACAGTCATCAGAGAATACTGTCTCAACAAGAAATTCTAGGCAGGCCTTACTAATACGATTGAAAGTGATTGTCTCCTTGTCCCCATTTTATTTACTTCTCAATTGTATGTACCCTTACACATCTATGAGCGCTTTCGATTACACGTTTACACAATTCTGGAACTGGTTTTCTTAAATTCTGGAATGACCCGAATGAGCGGATTCCGGCCTTGTAAACGAACGACTGGAATTCACAACGCATTTTATTCATGTCATGTCACAAACAAAATTGACGAATCGTAAAAGAGACCACATACACCCTCGCGCGCACATGGACCCAGCATCGCTCACACGCTGGCCAGGGAGGCTTTTGGCGCGCTTGGTCATGACCAGACCGGTAACACACCGACTGTACAATTGGAGAAATTCCGCCCTCTCTTCAGAATTGACGGATTTGACGGAGTTGGATAAAATCAATTCTAACGACGGAATTTGTCACTTTTTATGTAATCAAACTGTGCATCAACAATACCTAATATTCTAGAATTGACCGAAATGCGTGTAATCGAAAGCGCCCAATGAATGCATAACTGGAGAGCACAACTGCTTAGATATAATGTACAAACACTCAACCTGGATATGTATGCACTTGTTTCAATGAAACGGCAGGATGCTTTGGTGAGGTTAATATAATTATATGATACTCCGCAGAGTGATACCGGCTTGAATATTAATACTGTAATAATAGCAAAGTTCTGGCACAGAGCTCTCCTTCTCCCCACCACTACCATCAGTTCGCACCTGGCGCCTGGTCGATGCATGGCTGGCGGTATCCTGCACAGCAGGCTGGTACATCAAGTAGCGCATGGCACATAGATGATGACACAACAACGACATAGCTCGATTGCGACGTACGTTTCGTCCCCGCTGGACTCATCTGGCAATCTTCTTCTTGGATGTCTTCATACGGAGCTTGACTCGGGAGAATTAAGTTGAAGACACCACTGCAGCTGTACTTATGGTTGATAAATATGGTGGTAAAGACACACCTGGCAATATGGCGGTAAACACACGCCTGCCCACACACGCTCTCTAGGCTACAAAGTTCTGGTACAGAGCTCCCCTTCTCACCACCACCACCATCAGTTCGCACCTGGCGCCTGGTCGATGCATGGCTGGCGGTATCCGGCATAGCAGGCTGGTACATCAAGTAGCGCATGGCACATAGATGATGACACAGCAACGACATAGCTCGATTGCGACGTACGTTTCGTCCCCGCTGGACTCATCAGGCAATCTTCTTCTTGGATGTCTTCATACGGAGCTTGACTCGGGAGAATGAAGTTGAAGACACCACTGCAGCTGTACTTATGGTTGATAAATATGGTGGTAAGTCTCCGTATGAAGACATCCAAGAAGAAGATTGCCTGATGAGTACAGCGGGGACGAAACGTACGTCGCAATCGAGCTATGTCGTTGCTGTGTCATCATCTATGTGCCATGCGCTACTTGATGTACCAGCCTGCTATGCCGGATACCGCCAGCCATGCATCGACCAGGCGCCAGGTACGAACTGATGGTGGTGGTGGTGAGAAGGAGAGCTCTGTGCCACAACTTTGCAGCCTAGAGAGCGTGTGTGGGCAGGCGTGTGTTTACCGCCATATTGCCAGGTGTGTCTTTACCACCATATTTATCAACCATAAGTACAGCTGCAGTGGTGTCTTCAACTTCATTCTACGTAATAATAGCAAAGCAAGAGAAACTACGATCGGCATTCGCGGCAGGGGAAAGCGGAATATAGCCGGCCAGCTGCTCCTGGATTGTTGTGAATGTAACAACCTATTCTTGGCCAACACATCATTTCAGCATCCAGCACGCCACATTACTACCTGGACCGGGTGGCGGAAGGATAGCCAAACACAGAAGGTTGTACCGGTCTACAACCAGATAGATTATGTACTGTGTCGCCTGTCTCAAAAAGGCTCTTGAGGAATAGCAGAAGTTATGCTGGAATTGAACTTACCACTGATCACCGACTAGTTGTTGCTGTGTTGGACCTCTCCAGACTATATGGAGTGCTCCATGGCAGACAACGAACAGTGACAGGACCAACCTCAGCACCCTCCGCCTCGGCGGACAAGATCAACGTCAAGAAACTTGCAGAGAGCAAGGAGGTTCAATGTCAGTACCAGGAGGCAGTCACGGAGTCTTTGCGGTCACTGGATAAGGAAACATCCTGTCAAAAAACTTATGAAAAAATTATCAACACTATCAGTACGGTTGCGAGCAGCGTTGTGGGGCACGAGAAAAAGCCGCAAAATTCAACGCAACATCATTCAACATGACATCAGGCGGCGATGCAAAGAGAGCAACGAGAGGAGATTGAACTCGATGGCAGAGGAAGTGGAGAGATTGAAAGATGGTGCCAGAATGTTTAAAGCTGTGACAGTTATGACAAGAAAGCAAGCACAGAAAGTGGTGGTCGAGGAATCCCAGGGAAGAATAGTTGGAAATGCCGAAGAAACCCTGAATATCATCAGAACGCACTTCAGCACGCAATTCAATCGCAACAGTGAGAAGCCTATTGACCCGTTTGAGGGAAAGTCGAGGCCTCTGCAGCGTCCAATAACAGCAGCAGAACTAGAAACGTGCATCGGGCGGCTCAACAATGGCAGAGCACCAGGCCCGGATGGGGTGAATGCTGAGTTGGTGAAGTATGGTGGCGCCGAACTAGCAGCCAGGATCGCTCTCTGCCTCAACCGCATGTTCGAACTCCATAGCCCTGTAGATCTAGGAGCAGGCACCCTAATCCCACTGCAGTAGCCCAACAAGAAGAGGGGACCGGCCAGTAATTTGCGCCCAATCACTCTGCTGGATTCCGTCAGGAAGGCTGTATCGTTATTGACCCTCAGACGCATCCAACCGGCAGTGAACCGGCAGTACCTTAGCCCTACACACAGTGGATTCAGACCCGGAAGGTCGACGGCGGATGCCGTCTGGGCACACCGGTGGATGGCTGCAATTGCCCAGAAGTACCAGAGCGTAATAGAGATTCACGGAAAAGAGAGAAGCTGCTGAGTACCATGAGAGCGATCGCCACGGAGGATGACATCCGACTGGTACGGATATTGCTGTTCAAACACAACCATATCTGTCCGTCTTGGAAAGGAAGTTTCACCTGATTTCAAGTTCACCATCGGAACCCCCCAAGGTGACTCTCTCTCTCCTGTAGTATTTGTGATCTACCTGGAATCAGCCTTGAGGGAGATCAGAGCATCGATTCCGCCCAGGCCAATGCGCGACATGGCTCTACCACCAGAAGTGATTTATGCCGATGACACTGATTTCATCAGCCAATCCAGACCCTGGCTGGAGAGCATCGAACCGTATATCATCACTATCCTTGGAGACTGGCACCTAAAGGTCAACGAAGATAAAACAGAAAAAACAACATTGCGCCGGGAAGGAGACCGCCTGGCTGAATTATGGCGGAAAACAAAAAACTCGGATCACTCCTCGGCGACGAGGAAGATGTTGCACGAAGGAAACAATTAGCAACGGCAGCCTTCAGAGCACTATTCACGGTATGGTGTCGTCGATCGATCATCAGCAAAAGTCTACGGCTAAGGCTTTACAACGCGTTTATCATCCCTGTGCTAACGTACAATGGAGGCACCTGGGGACTGACGGCTTCAGCATGGGAGCGTCTTGACACATTCCATAGAAGACAACTTCGGAGTCTCCTGGGTATCCGCTGGCCGCAGGTGATTCCAAACAAAGCCCTGTACGGCAGATGCCACGCAGAGCCCATCAGTGCCCTCATGCGGCGATCCAGATGGGGCCTGTTCGGGAATATCCTCAGACTCCCTCAAGACACGCCTGCCGCCTTCGCTATGCGGAGTTACTTCACCTGTGCGGACAAGGTATGGCGAGGGCGGCCACGGACAACCATCGTGTCCACACTATCCGCGGACCTAGAATCAGCAGGACTGTGGAGTCTGAGGAACTTGGCAGACCTGGAGCACCTGCGGGCCATCGCCGCTGACAGGCCTGCGTGGCGCGAGCTGTGCCAGGATGTACGCAGTAACTAACGGATGGGACAGAGGCATTGTACAGATCCCGTGCATTTAGCACTTACCATCGACCATGAGTTACAAACCTATCGTCGTTGACACTTATTCTTGTTTTATTTTTTGATCTTTCGAATAGATCCCGTGCATTGAGCACCTATCATCGAACATGAGTTATGTGCCTATCGCCTGCTGTCTTACATTTAATTTTTACTTTTTAATATTTATTTTTGTTTTCCTCCCTGCCCACTCTGCCTGCCTTCTGGCACATGCGAATACGTGGACTTACTGTTGACGTAAACGCGGACGTGCGTATAATAATAATAATAATCCTCATAACATACAATTTCGAATATGTTTACGGTCCTGAGTTTGGGTCTGGGCGTTGTTGATGGTAAGTTCGACACTCTTGAGATCCTTTCGGACAGTGTCGATCCCACGCATGGGGGAGGGGGGGGGCAGAAGCGTGGCTTCTTGATGGCGGCGGCTAACATCAGTGCCTGGTATGATGGAGAGTTAAGGCTTTGTCTGACAGCGTTGCCAAGCCATTGAAGTCGACGTTCTCTTCAAATAGAAGTAGGAGCGACTCTGACTCAGCTGCTACCCGGGGCTTGACGAGGTGTTTGTCGCGCTGGAAACGAAGCCGTCAGTTTGTATCCCTGGTGATGGTTTGGCCTGGAGAGCAATATATAAGTGGCGCTTTACAGGCACAATCTACCTCAGCTTACTCAAGCTCTACTCATGAGGGGTGAATTCCCCGAAACACTGTGTGTTGAGCATGGAGTGGTGTTTCTAGTAGATTTGCCGAGTGGAAAGTGCGACGTGCTCCTCATGTGCGGCAGATGGCAGTCGTGAGTCAGTTAAGTGTCAAGTGTCGGCAAGAAGCGTGTGTTCCTCATTGGAGCCATCAACTTCATGAATACGGCCGCCGAGGTTGCAACTTCTAAGTTAGAATGGACGTGATTAGACATTTGAACATGCAGAAACGAGACACAAGTGAATCTCGCTTCCACACGATGGTTCAAAATGCACGGTTAGCTGCACTGTTTCTCTGTTATACGTCTTGCGCTGCTCCAAGTCTTGACCCAAGGAGTGTGATGCATTTCAAGTATCTTTTGACATTTCAAAATACTCAATTTTATCAACGTTCAAACGGAGGTTCTCTTCAGCGAAAATGGATTCACACGATTTGACGATAGTTTGTAAAGTTTTCGAGTTGGCATTTGCAGCATGTAGCGTGGTGTCATCAGCGTATTGCGAGGTTCTCTTCAGCGAAAATGGATTCACACGATTTGACGATAGTTTGTAAAGTTTTCGAGTTGGCATTTGCAGCATGTAGCGTGGTGTCATCAGCGTATTGCGAGAAAGGGCAAGGAAGCGCCGAGTTCGGTGGGTACTGTTCGTCAATCTTCCTCATGGCGCCTTCAGCACACATTTTTTACATGAGTGGAAGAGGGGGTTCCCTGCACAACTCCGATCTTGGTGCTGAGCTGCATGTTGAGCTCGACTCTACCAGTTGGGTTGGAGATTAAGTTTGTGACAATGGAAGTGTCAATGATAGCCTCGGCCATTCTGCTCCGAGTAGTTTCTCGTATGTTGGTTCAAAAACACAACTGAAATCGAGTAAAGCGCCAGAGTACGACCAACTGCCAAGTAGGGCTTGTTCACACAGCATTCTGGTGATTCAGACATCATCAGCTGTGGAATGTAGTATTGACGTAGTATTGACGTATACACGGCAAGCCGCTTATGTACAACGGCATGGGAGAGAATAACAAAAATAAAAATATATTGTTTGGGAAATCCACGCTAATATCGAATATTCAACACTGACGGGTGTGGGTTTATACCAAATTCCCATGATGTGAAAGTACAATTGTTGTTGAAAGCACTAGGTGATCTGCACTCTACAATGTGACCTGTGCGATATGTTATGGTTAAATGATTGCCTGTTGCAAGCCACCAATCGCAGTATCTCCAGGTCCTTTAGACTCCGGAGACGCATGGACGTTGCCTTGGCTAATTCGTTGTCTAGCACCACTAGTAGGTTGATGCGCGGGTGTCCGAGCCAGCCCCGATTCTGTCGCTGGAAATACGCTGTCATGCTCACCTGCGCTGGAGTTACTTCAGGGAGGCGTAAAATATGGCTGGGAACAAGGTTGGGACTGTCTTACATTATGACTGTATGGCTCGGGTGCACCGAGCGGTAAGGATGAAAGTTAAAACGTTCCGGACAACTGGTAGTAACACCACCTGCCTGTAACTCTTCGGGACCCCAGCAGGCTCGTTCGGCTTGAACAAAGGAACTACAATCCCACCCCGCAAGTCATCAAGACAGTGGCCGATATGTTTTATTGTATTAAAGAAAGCAGAAAGCCAACCGGAAAGCACTTCGCCACCTGTTTTCAACAGGTCGGCAATGACACCATCAATACGCACTGCTCCACTGGATAGTTGTTTCTGTATTGCTTTGGAGACTTCGGCAGGATCAAAGCTGGTGACGGGCACACTGCTGGGAAGCTGCGACGACAACGACTCTGGTAGGGCGGAGCGATAAATTATAGAGGAATAGTATTCCTCTTTTTCTCTCCGAAACTCAACACCTGCAAGCCAGATATGAACTCCGTGAAGTCAAAACTTTTAAAATAGGACTAGTACTCCGTAAATTTATTCGAATTCCAGTCGTTGCCTGACATCATGCTGCCACTGTCATCCTTCAGATGACTAGAAGACTGTTTTATTTCAGATTTGAGTTGCTAAAGCTGACGTTTGGCACTGTAGTAGGAAAGAGGGTCGGGCCGTACCGAGTCGACAGAGTTGGGGTTGTCCTGCCCAAATTGGTCACCCTCTGGTCGTAAAATAGACCGAATGTGATGTAGTATCTCTGAGCGCTCTTTCCAGAGCCTAACCCGGAACTCCTCCACAGATTTAGCATGGATTCTAGAATGCAGGTCCTTCTGTTGCCTTGAAAGGTCAGCCATAGTTGGATTAGATCTATGTATTGTACGCGATGATGCCTGTACTTCACCGAATCACTAGGATGCTGAGCTATGTATAACCGACACAAAGTCATTCCATACCGATTCCGTCTGCTTCGGGCTTTGCACATTGGACACTCCGGTAGGCTGTCCGAGAACAGGGGTTGGAATTTGGTGCTGGATGTTTCGGTAGGTGTGAGGAGATAGTGGTTGAAGCAGAGGTCAGTTTGCGAAGCAGAATAAAAGTCGGCAATGACAGGATGGTGTTCCGATCTTGTGATGAAGCCACCATAGGACCTGGCATCTGTGACGTGATTCATGCCTGACATCCTGACCGTGACGCAGTCTATAATGTTTCTGACAGGTTCACCATGACCTGGTATATGGCTACAAAATGGTAAACGTGACCTGATATCCCCAATATCATTATTGGAATTCGATGTTATAATACCGATGACCAATCCATTGGGAAAGCCAAGCCGTTTCCCAAAGAAAATAACGTTATCATTCTAGCATTTACATAGCGTGTTGCATGCGGGATGCGTGGTTTGTGACATGTGCCCACTCTGGTGTGTTCAAATCTTTCCTTGCACCAGCAAAATGCTTGGAGGTTCAATGATTTTCTTACCTCCAACACAAAACATTCTCTTTCTTAATTCCAACAGTAACTCATTGCGAAGCTGTGAACCAGTCAACAGCCAGTTACATTGAGAGAAGTCCTGTTGGTCACATTATCACGGTGAAGTGTCGCAATGGATACAGCAACAAACTCGGACCAGTCACAGCTAAATGTCGGCCCCAAGGAAATTGGAGTGAACTTCCACATTGTCAGGGTGAGTGAGTACTTGCACATGGACGTGCCGCATGTTATGTGTCTTGGACCCATGCACTCCATAATTGCAATAACATGCGTAGCATCACACGACGATCGTTTTGCCGGATTGTTCATAACAGTTCCTTTGGTGTGCATTAATGAACTCAGATGGTGAGCCAAAGAAAAATTTTAACACGGAATTTGTGGTCTTAAGTTATGCAAACGTGTCCACCAACTAAAGAAGATTTTGAACAGTCAGACGTGCACCGTCTAATATAAACCTGACAAGGAGTACTAATACATTTCACGGCATGAAAGTCAGCTTAACCCTTTGAGAGCCGATTGAAAATTTCAAAATTCTTAAGCACTGCTTGATAACGCTAACCAACAGCCTTTCAACTTGGAAGGTTCAAGGATATTACTGCAAATTCCAACGTGATACTATACATGTTATTGCAATTTGTTATTCCATCATTGTCATCAACTAAGTACAGTACTGTAGGATACTGGCGTTCGGTTCGGTACAATTCGGCCTCGCGAATCTTCCCCTTCACATTTTCATCTCGGATAATATTGAGCCTCACAAGTTGGGTGGTTGTAGCTTTGCGTTATGGAGTTGTGATTTGACTGTTCTGTCTGGTCTTGCCGTCCCGTCATCATGCCAGGCCAACATTCCATGAAGCCATGGAATGTAGCTTGTGCCCGACTCGATGGCGCTCGTCTTCCCCTCTTCGGAATTATCACTAATATCCATGAACGTTCCAAGTTGGAAGGCCGATGGTTACAGTGCTTAAGCTGCCTTTCAGAGGTGTGACAAACGAAAAGTAATAATACAGAGGCACTATGATTTGGTTCTGCAAGAGTGCTCAATGCCTGATTCAGGCAGAGCGGCGTACACAAAGGCACACCATGAAAACCTTGGGAAATTTGTTCGTTTGTGACTCAGAGTTTCATGGCTGAACCAATCATCAGACAACGATAATGGAATAGGAGGCAGCGCTGGTATACCTAATTGGAGAGAGGTGTGATAACACGATAGCGAGAGGAGTAATCGCGTGAATGTATACAGGGACAGGCTATTTCAGAGGCAGATGCAGTAGTCGCAGGTCTAGCACTAACAAGTACGCGCTTAATCTCGCTCACACACCACACACACACATACTAACACGCACCCACATAGTAACACCCACACACATACACACATGCACGCACACACTAACACACACACACACACACACATACACCCACTCACAACACCCTAACTTGCACACGGGCGCACGCACACACAGACACCAGTCCACCCACAACACCCTAACTCGCACACGCACAAACACACGCACACACGCATGTACACACACCTATAGACACATGTCCACACTCATACATAGGCATCTGCGTTCGTATGACAAATCTAAGCGCACACAAACTCCTGCAATCACGCGTCAAAAAACCCGCAGCGGTCGTAGCTGTCTATGTTATGGGGTGGCCAGCAGAAACTTGCGCTGGTGAGGGCATTTAGATACCAGCTCACTTCTCTTGTTTAGGGAGGTAGCTTTTGAAGCTTTCAGGATGTGGAACTTTTCGGTTTAGCATAGGCCACACTTCATGCTGATGTTACAGTATGAAGGTGCTCTATCCTTGATCTCCCATCTGATGTCGAATCCGCGGTTCTCGTTTTTCAGATCCAAGATGTGCTTGGACAACTTAGTCGATGCGGCGTACTTTTCATGGCCGAAATCCGAAGTGTGTTTGTTGTAGCGCTGCTTGAATGTAGCAGCTGTCATGCCGACGTAGGTCTTAACTTCGTTGGATGCTACATGCGCCTCGTACACGACGTCGGAAGACTGGCAGTCGCCGGTAAGGGGGCACGACGCCTTGACCCGACAATTGCATGGCACAACTGGCGGTCGCGAGCGAAGTTTTGCAGCATTGTGCCCTTTGATAATCGCGGATTCGCGGATTCGCGGGTTCGCGAATTAGTGCGTCCGAAGAGATCCGCAAGGTTTACTATCGAGGAGGATTACGACAATTTATTTGGCGAGTCGTGAGTCGGAACAGTCGGCAACTAGCAGCTGTACTGCTCACAGTGACTCTGACGAAGCCCCAGCTAAGCGTCCGGGAGTGAAAGACTCCTGCGTTGAGGTTGAAAGCGAGTCGAGAGCGGATGAAGTAGGCGGAGATTCTGTGGACTCTGCAAGCGACGATGAGCAGGATGCGCTTCAGAGGATTGCCGCTGTGGACTCACTGATTCTTGATGGCTGCGTTCGGAACTACCATTTCAGCAGCTTCACGTCGAGCGCAATCCTCCATTCCAACGACTAAATTTCGGCGATGAAATCGAAGGACTTCGGCATTTTTTATATCGGTGTGCTGGCTGCGCTGCACGCATGACGATCCTGTCGACTGTCGTGCATCAGTCGACAGCTTCCGCAAAGGAACGGACGCGCATCACGTTTGGATAAACTCTGATGGGATACATCGTTTGTGGAACCGCGTTTATGCAGCTCCATGTGGTTGGCAGAACATTACTGTGTGCAAGTGGACAAGGAGAACGATAGCTGTCATCCTGGTGCACATGGAAATCTGACAATGTGCCTTGGAATAAATTTAGTGCTGAAGTGGGACACAGAGCGCAGCAGTTTATTCTGAACTACAGCTTAGTGTTCAGTCTCCCTTTGCCTGCAGCACCAAGAGGGAGAGGTGAGGAATCTCCCTTAAACTTACCTACATCTGTCGCCTACAAGTTTGTCCTTTCGGAACATGTTGAGCAGTCTAGTGCAGCGCAAACCCTGGGTTACTCGTTAAATTTTCGTATCTGTGGACTAAGGAGTGCAAGTCCATTGAGTTCATGACGCGACGGATGGACGCGTGCAACAAGTGTGAGCTGCTCCGGGACGATATTTGTTCTCCTCGTGCATAGGTAGAAAAGAATTCTGCAACGGAACCAATTTGTGACCATGTTGTCTTTGCACAAAAAGAATGCGAGTTCTTGTTAGCTCAACGCCGCAAGAACTTGCTGGACAATGTTGCCCGGTTTTGACTGGAAAACAAGGCAGCCTTCATTGAATCTCTTGGCCAATACTAAAGGCTGATACGCAAAACTGTTGCTGCTTTCAGCGACACTGTAGATAATGCATTATACACGGCATATTCTATGTCGGACAATGCCATAGAAATCATGGTCTCTATGTACTTTCAAATGTGATATCCAACTTTATCTTCCACAGAGGTGTTCTCTAGACCCCTGTGATTGATTTTCAAGAAAGAAAAAAATTTCGGAAAATTTGCCCTTGGACACGGTATTGCATGCACTGGCCCATAATATATTATTTCCTTTTACTTTCTATATTTAGTTATGGCTCAACATCCAAGTTTCAAAGTTGCGAAAGTTGCGATTTCTTCCAAAACAACAAAACAGTTGCGAAAAAGCTGCGAGCATCTTTGGGAAAGGGCTATCACGTAAGCTGTGCGCCATAAAAAAAAACGGCTCGTGCAATACAAGATGTGCAAGGATATCTCTCGATCAGGTATTGGTTTATAAAAGGTTTAGTGGAAACTCCTGTAATGTGTTGTTACAGACATCAACGAGTGTGAACTGGAAAAGAAAGTTTGTGTAGACAATTGCATCAACTACACACCCGGTTTTACCTGCACGTGTCTAAATGGTACCTTTGGTTGCTTTGGTAAGTACAGAAAGGGAATGTTCAATATTATCAATTTAACTCGACGTAAGGCTTGACGTAAAGCGCATTTGATGAGGAAGCAATGATGAAGTGCGATGAACCTCTTTTTAGTTATTTCAGTTGATCAATTTTTTCTTCAAGCAGCAGTTGTAACCCTTGCTGTAGGTTCTTTGCAAAATTTAATGTAGTTGTATTCATTGCCTTTGCTCCATATCAATATACTATCACTATCATAGTACTGTTCTCAATAAGAGGACGGAAAAGTGTTTCACGCACGAACTAACCATTAGAAAGCAATAATGAGTACATCTGGATCAATACTCTTTTATAATTATACGCACAATGCAAAGTGTGAATGGCTGCATCATGGAGCAAATTTAAAAAATGCGACTGACGGCAGTGCAAAGCGTACATAACTGCATCATGGCGCACATCTTAAAGTGCAAATGACAGCAGTGAAAGGTGACAACCACTGGAGCAATCTTGCACAATGAGTAATGTCCCTCTATCTGGCGTCAACCAGGCCGCCACAGCGCTGTTGTTCAGCTTAAGCTTTGTCTGGCTGGTATCGCCCATTACGCCATCTGCGGTTGTCTCCCAATCTCCAACCACATGCACACAACTGCTCATGGTTCCTGGTGGCCTGTGCTTGTGCGCTGCACAAGAAAACCAGGACAACAGGTACGTAACAATGACGCTATTTGATTTCCCTCGTGTCCCACATTGGCTCTCACCTACTCATTCGCACGGGGGATCATGTCTGTATGAGCATGCCTCGAAACACGCGAGGACGCCCTCCACCAAGCTGACAGTCTCCAAGCTTCCGTCAATGCGTTTATACATGTATGGTGAACAAAGTGGCATGTAGGGTTTGAACCATGGAAGTCACAGTTTCTACCAGTCTCCTGCCACCGATAGCCTTGGCCTATCCTCGCAATAAACTTTGGAGTAGAGGTCATCCCACAGCAGCCACACCAGAAACTACTCGGCATAATAGTTGACTCCAATGAATCCATGAATCTCCGAACAGTTGCTGCCAGGGCGTACTTATGTCTTGGCCTCCTACGTAGAGCTGCTAGCATTCTGGAATGCCATGGCATCCTGGCCGTGTAACACGGCTTCCTCCGCCCCCTGTTTTAGCACGGTCCCCTTGTCTGCATGGGAGTTGCTGCCACCAACCTTGAACACCTTAACAGAGAGCGAACCCACCAAATCCTAGGACCCAAAATCTTGCTACCGAGCCTCGAGGCTCGACGGACAGGTCGCAGCGCCGACTTTCGTCTACAAGCTACTTTGCCAACCAGGTCCTCATCTGCTCAGATCCATAGTCCCCCCTCTCCTTGTCCACCTTACCGCACCTGTTTCCAGAACACAATGCGAACAGTCTGCATTACACCCCTACCGACAGGAAAATATTTTCCCTCCAGGTGATCCTAACCACCCAAGACGCGCAGTTCCATACATTATCAACACCTGTAACACGCTGCCATCCTCCCTCTTCACCAAGCCACCATCTCCTAAGGGCCTGCAATCCTTCAAAACGATTGTCCACTACCCTCTTTGCTGCAGGCAGTGGCTTTGGGCCACGGACTCACTCTAGCAGTTCAGATTTTCTATCTTGAAGCTCAAAGCCCCCAAGTATTGCATCATGTTCAGAGCCATCTGCCTTTGAATATCTCTCTCTCTCTTTCTTCTTGTTCTCTCTCCTTTTCCTCCCCTTTCTCTGTCTCTCTTTGTGTCTCTCTGTTTCTCTCTCTCTCTTTGTCTCTCTTTCACCTCCACCATTCTCCATCACCTTTTCTTGTCTTTTATCGCACTAAATCACCCACTTCTTTCAGGCTATGATACGCAAGTCCACGTTTACTCCGAGACTATAGGTTGGTGTTGTTGGCTTGCCTGTCCAGCACTGGCTTGCTTTGCAGCCCCTACTCCCCTGCTGTTTTTGTATTACTGAAGTTTGTTAAAATGTTGTCTTCTCGCCCTCTGACGAGTAGGTTGTGTACTTAGTAAAAAACGGAGCATAGTGGACTTAGTAAGAAACATAAAAGCAATCACGCACAGATTCCTAAAAGCAAGTTTGAGAAGACTATGATCCTCTGTTCCACCTATCCACGAACGACACCGACTCACGCTGATCTTAAAGCTCTGATTCTCTTCTGTTGGAATCTCTTCGTCAGTTATCGTTTTTGTTCTCGTTGTGTTGCCATCTTCATTGTATTGGGATAAAAGTTTTGAAACCTGACAGCCATCAGGAGTTCGGGAGGTGTTTGCCGCTTTAGAAACGGAACGTCTCTGCACCCTTACTCTCTGATTATTGTTTGACTTGAAAACCGCTATGAAAGTCGTGCTCCTCATGCACCATCTTCCTCAGCCTACTCGAGCTCACGTGGATAGGGATGATTTACCAAAACACTGTGTAGCGGGCAACGAGTGTAGCTTTCTTCCAGGTTTGGCAAGTGGAAGGTTCGATGAATTTTCCGTATGCTCAGTCCATCAAGTGTCAATGCAGGTTGGCGGGGAAAGGAAGAACTCCAGTGTGGGGAGAAACCAACTATTTTCTTCTTTTTGTTACTATTATGAATCCAATAGATTTTTGGTTGGAGAAAAGCAAATCAGCACACGAAGCACAGAAGCCATCTAATTTGTTCGACTAGGCCTTTCATTCCATTAATCTTTGGGTCGAATACAATGGTGATTAACAAGGTAGTAAGCAAGTCCTTATAACCGGCACTTTTGGCGGGCAGAGCATTGACAAAAATAGCACTTGAAAAACATTATGAATTCAGATGGAGACGCAAGGATACATTTATAATAAAGAAAAAGGAGTATTATGATGATGTTTGATTAATGAATGGTTTAAAACATACCTGGAGGCAACTATCTGGACGCATTTCATGTTTGGTACTTGATTTGTTCCTCCATTTGTCTCTCTATGTGTTCAGCGCAGATATCAGGACAAATGTCAGATGCTACACAAGGCATCACTATAGAAATATTCATTGGAAGCTTGGCAGCAAGCATGCTACTCGGTGCACTCATTATGTTCCTGTTCGCACAGTTTGTACAGCGAAAGCGTCGCTCAACACAACAGGACACTAACAGAACGGAGATAGTTACCGAGAGTACAACACGTGCCACACCTAACATGGCGTATGAAGATGCAGAGATATTGGAGAGAACGCTCACAAGCAGGGAAGCATACGGAGTCGCGGGGACTGCAGACCCGAACAATTATGAGTTTGTAAGGCCTTGAAGCTTACATGTAAGGGAGCTCATTCCACTGTTCAACACTTTTGCTCTCAACATTCACACGCCATCGCAGTTTGTCACCGCACCACCCTCTGCTTCCTTGTGTTTAATGAAACTGTTTTCACTTTAATACATCGCGTCGTCCAAACGTCTCACTGCCGGGATTTCATGCCACCATATTACTCGTATTTCCTTGTGAGCTAAATCATGTAAACCGCGTGTGAATTACTTGCATAATCTGGGCTTCGAAGGTTGCGAACCCAAACGTTCAGTGTGTCTTCGGATGTGCATATAATTGTACCCGGAATAATATCCCGCTAGTTCGCTTTGTTTTTAATTCATCATTGAACAGTTTGACCCCTCTTCCAGTGAATTATGACTGGTTCGAGCATGATATGCCTACTCGAAATCAATTACCATTGCCTGCTCTTCGTTTGTGCTAACTTCTTAACTCGCCTGTGTTTATGGCATTTTGGGCCTTGGGCTTGCCCTTTGCTGAGACACTTTTCGCTTTCAAGAACGCTCCTCGAAAAGTAATGCTCTTTAACGCCCCAGTCTGTACCAATATGTATCATTCTTCTTCTTCTGTTTAACTCTTTTTGCATTTATGCTCTCGGTCCATGTTTGAATCGACCCTCACTTTCTTGTTTTGGCTCTTTTCATTCTAATCATGCCTTTAAGTCCAGACTGTAGCTAAATTTCAAAAAATTTCCTTGCGAGTTTCCAGTACCTCCATTTCCATTTCATACGTTTCCAATTATTGGGAATGAAGAGTTGACACTTGCATATGAGTCTCCGATGTCTTTTCCTAGTACTCTTTTCATCCATACGTGATGTGTAGGCAGACGAACATGGCAATCATAGCCTTCAGTGCAGATACTCAAAATTGGAACATGGACTATGACAGTATTGTTCAGCAAACTTGAAAACAGTTTGAATTGAAACAAACAGGCACTGTAGGATGATCCGGCACCTGAGCTTAGAAATGTGCCACGTTCGAGACCTGTATGGAAGTGGAAAGATACATTTCTGCCTACTGTAAATTTACAACTTGTGGTCTTCGATGGGGATAACATAGCTGCAATGGATTCGTTTTTGCCGGATTTGCCGAATTTATGGTAGGTCAGATTAACTATCCCCTCCCCCCCCCCCAAAAAAAAACTTTGGAGGTTTTCTTCTGCCATTTGATGTTGGAAGGTGGTGATGGTGATGAGATTCTACATCACAAAAGAAAAAAGAGTTTTGTCAATCGCCAACACTGTTCTATTTTCATGTCATGCCCTCTTTAATCTGAAATGGAGTATATTGTTTTCAAATTCCACATTACACCGTTGTGCTCTTCGGCCGACCTCAATGTTGCCACAGCACACCATCAGTAAAGCGAAACTACAGTTGGAAATTTGCTCTGTCAGACAGCAGCTGTTTCGATCATCAAGATCTCTTCAGTGAAGGTTAATAAAGTAGGAAGGCTATCAGATAGTGAACTTCACCATTTTGTAGCACAAAAGGGTAAACATACTTGTGTATCGTAGGCGTGAAGATTAGGGCTAAGCAAAAGAGTTAATGTCATAGACCACATTGAGGAAAATGTGATTGAGAGTGAAATGTCCCTGGCAATTTTCAGTCCTTCTTTATCAGTCTCCTTGTCTCTATCACCGGCTGCTACATGTACTTGACTGGCACAAGTACGTATAACCAAGAAGGGCGAGCAGCAGCATTCGGCCTTGTCCAGATTATTATCAACCACCACACCACACAGTTGAGATCTCCGGCCGACCTCTACACGTTGCCACAGCACACCATCAAAATACGACACTTAAGTTGGTACTTTGTTCCTTCAGACAGCTGCTGTGTCGATCATCAGGTTCTCGTCAATGAAGGTTGGTAATGTGGAATGGATAACAGATAGTTCCCACTTGTCATGTGCCTGTTGTCACGTCGTTACTAGCATCCGGCCAATAAGAGCAACACCGTAGCAGTCAGTAGTGCCCGGGTACGGTGTACTCATTAGGAGTGATCTCAGTAGTACTACGTATTTTGGTTCACTGCCAATTATGTACCAGGTGCCTTGACCTGGTACGTAACCGGCAGTACTCCAGCGCAGATAGAACACAGTGGGACCATTCCTAAGGAAACCACATGCGTTCGAGTTAACAGGCGTAGGCGCCTTTTTACAGGAAACCATAGGTTTAATTTGATGGATGAGCGAAATTCAGCTGGTGAATTAGACATGCAGAAAGCCGGTGGAAGTGCGCTCTACCCGCCACCGTTTAAATAAGTCATCGCACTGAAGCCACATTGGGTGTTAGCGGGGGGCAGAAAGAGAGCAGCAGAGACTTCGCCACGGGTGTTGGCTGCAGTGTTGACACCTTGGGTGTGCAAGGTAAAGCGATCTCGCAGAAAAGGACTGGCAAGTCCATTCAGACAGCCTTAAACAAATTCATAGGTTTTGAAGTTGAGGCGTTTCTCAAGGGTGAACAAGTTAGTATGATTGTTTAGAAGAGTGACGTAGTCATTCTATCCAACGAAAATATTCTCCTTAACGCCACCCGGCTGGCAGTGGGAATGAAGCAGTATAGGCTTTGTGAAAAGCAATGAGTGTATGCAGTCGCGCCAAACTCAAATGTGGACTTAGTTATCGATAGATGGAAGGGTCGTGTGCTGATTTTGTGCTTTGCATAGACAAATGCACTAGCCTTCCTATAGACAATGGACCGTATGCGTGTTAAAACAAAATGGCGTCACGATTTATTGAAAGTGGTATAGTTGGTGGTACGAGTGTTGAAACCCATTTGAACTTCATACTGTTCGTCTTTTTTTTGACATGCTCTCTTTCCATCGTCCTTAGCTTTTGTTTGTTGAGAGCTGTTTTGGCTTTCTCCTATACCTCTGGGGGATGCCAAGTGATGGTTTTGAGAGGCTGGTGATGGCTGTGAGCGAGAGTTTGCCGATCGGCGTCGTCCTCGCTATAGCGATGAAAATACTAGTTACTGCGCACCTGGCAGATATCACAACACGTCGGAGCGTCCAGGAGCAAAGGAATCTTGGGTTTTCACTGGAATCTAGTTCCTCCAGCATCGTGTAGCCCACCGTCGGTGAATGGCGGTCCAGAAAGGTCGAACCTGGTCTTCTGCAGCATCTCGCAGTCCTGCGAGGCACAATGAATACGCCTGTCATGTATTCTACAAATAAAAATCACGAAGTAGTGGACTTTACAGTGATGAGTCTATCCTGTATGCTGCAAAAGACGCAGCCAACCACCAACTATACCACTTTCAATAAATCGTGACGCCATTTTGTTTTAACATGAATATCGCGGATTGCATGTACTGGATAAGCTTGGTTTGAGAAAGAAAGATGTTCGTCAACCAGTCTGCCCAAGTAAGGGTCGGAAGCAGATGGGACTATGGAAGTGTCCCAGCAGTTTACAGCGGTAGACTTTTGTCTGATATAAGATGTGCCATCCTCGGCCTAAAGTTTGATTCAAAGCTTGTTGGAAGCACTGTGTTGCATAACGGGTGTGAATGAAGAATAACAATGGACCGAGCACTGAGCCTTGATGGACGCCTCTTCTGCAAGAGCGGGTCCCACCTAGCTGCTGTCCTAAACTCACTCGCTGGACGCGGCTGCTGAGGTAGCGTGCAAACCAAGCAAATGCAGAGTAAGCAATGCCAAGCATCTTCAACTCGTCGACGAGCTCTTGATGCTTAACTTCTTCAAAAGCTTTGCTCATATCTGGAAACACTATGGGCAGTACTCGTTGTTATCAAGTGCTTTGAGCCATTTGTTGACCACTAACACTAATTAGTCCTCACACGAGCCGTTGGTATGATAAGCAAATTGATGATCAGGCCCCTACATGATGTTGCGTAACTTAAAAGAATGCAATCAGCCGCTCCAAGACAATTCGTTCTAATACTTTGCTGCATATGGGCAATAATGAGACTGTTCTTTAATTGGTAGAGCTTTCTGCATCACCTGATTTGGAAACTGGGCTGGCTGAGGCATTCTTGAAGACGTCTCGTACGCATCCTGTGCTCACGTCTTTGGACTGTTGCCCGATGGTGCTTGTCATAATATTTGCCAAAAATCATATCAGCGGTGGTTATCCAGGACGTCTTTATGCTAAGAGGCCTTGGCAAACAGGGATGACAACTACGTGTCCTGTGGTTCTCCTCCTGGCTATTGGTTGGTTGGTTTTTATTATTTCAGTTCGTTGCCTCAACAGTACAAAGTACAAATATCAAGAGGGACGAACGAAAAGAGAAAATAAAACATAGCAGAGAGGAAGATGCAACTGAAAGGAAAGAAAAACGGAGAAGGAATGTGGACTGGGCGGATTCATGAACCATCACTAGAGCAGGGGAATGCATGAACAGAAGGGGCAAGTCCGTCGATATTCATGTTTGAAAAATTCCAAGCCTTATTTTATTGGTGAAATACATTTTCAAAAAGGAGGGGGTATAGGGATATAGTCAATTTGTCGTCATTTAGAGCGTGCAAAAGTTCTGTAGAAAATGATCTAATGCCCTCACTTCCTTTCAAGTGAGCAGGGAGGGCATTCCACATAAGGGATGCTCTGGAGGAAAAGGAATTGTACCCTACCCTGGATTTATACAAGCAAATTGACAAATTGTTTGTTGTAGTTCCACGAGTTGACCGCTTAGAGGTGGGCAAAGGGAAAAGACTGCGTAAGCATGATGCAGGCTGAACAATATGACAAATAAACGTAAACGTAAGAAATTGATAAATGTATCGATATTCAAGGTGTTTTATTTGAAGAGAAGCAAGAAGGGGTGGTACAGCATCATAATATGAAGCTTAGCAGGTAACTCGTACAGCTCTACGGAACAAGGTAAACAATCTCTCCCTGGACTGTGCTGATAGGTGGGATGCGTAAACAGGGAAACAATACTCAAAGTCGGGCTGAATCACACTAAGCAGGTACTGGCGACGGGCAAATGCTGGCATTTGGCGGAAGGTGCGTCGCAACGCGCCTATCTTGCGTGACACCTTGCTGGTGAGGTGATCTACGTGTGGAACAAATGAGAGCTTGTTATCGATAAGGATACCAAGGCAGCGAATTACACTCACTTCCCTTAAGGTAGTGCCACCCAGCTCAACAAGAACGGGTCTTTGTACGTCAGGAGCATTCTTCTGCAAGATCCTCATGACCACGGTTTTGTCAACATTAACGCTCGTGCCCAGTGATCTTAGTTCATTGTGTAGCTTAGTGAGAGCCGAGGACACGACATCGGCGCATACTATTGGATCTCGTGAGGAAGCGTACAAAGTCTTGTCATCGGCAAACATGAGGAGCTTTGCACCGCTCTCTGCAGCCAGGTCAGGTAAGAGTCGCACATATAGGTTATAAAGGGTGGGACCCAAGATTGTTCCCTGCGGAACCCCTCGGGTTACAGGGAGAAGAGATGATGTTCCAGAGGCTATACATACACGCTGGTACCGGCCGTTCAGGTAGGAAGCGAACCATTTCAGGGCAGAACTATGAATGCCTAAGCTGTGCAAAGTAAAGATAAGTTCCTGGTGCACAACTCGATCAAAGGCCTTGCTTAAGTCAATAAATGCTACAACGGTTGTATGACCCACATCTCTAGCCAACGTCCAGTCATTTACAGCCAAGGTCATGACCTGCACTGTTGATCGCTGGGGCCGGAAGCCAAATTGATGATCGTGTAGACAATTATACAGGTCGAAGTCCCGCAGCAGTTGGTCAAGGGCAAGACGTTCGAG